GTGTGTGTGTGTGTGTGTGTGTGTGTGTGTGTGTGTGTGTGTGTGTGAAATCTTTAACTATTTCCTGTTATACTGTTGAGCAAAGTGCCACGCAGACCTTAAGGCAGGGCAGGACTTACCGGGATCTGCTGGATCTCTCCTGTGTTCGTAATGATCTGCTGCATCACCTGCATGGTCTGTCCAGTGCCACTCTGGGCCTGCTGGGCTTGACCCTGCGGCTGGGCCTGGACAATCTGCACCTGCTGACCTTCTCCAACCTGCATGGTCACGGGTGTGGTCTGGAAGGAAGAGTCATGAGAAAGCTGACTGAGCTCCAGCCCAGAGCCATTAGGCCTACCAAGGGGTTAATAACGAGCAGTTCACCGGGAGCAAACCCCCTCCATGGATGCCTGACCTCATCGCAACACTAACAATACTCAACCTACAGAGTCCTTTGGGCTCAGAGCACTGTTCAAGTCACTCTCCAAAATAAAAGACAGGAAGGCCAAACGGATTTTTAGACTCAGAGTACAGAATATTTGCCTTGGCCCCGAATACCTCTATGCTTCAAACGTTTCAACTCTTCACAGCCCCTTCAATGATAGAAAGGCACATACGGTACAAGAGAATCAAAAGCAACCACGATAATTTGCCTGAGACATGGCTGAAGTCAAGTCTGGAGCAGGTGAGTTTAGAGGGCAAACTAAATGGAAAGTGGGATCAGTATGGGTTAACTAAGCTCAGGACCCTGGGCTCCTTCTCAGGCATGCAGGACACTGGAAGAAACACAAAGGGCACACTGGCTTTCACCCCCATTCAAGCAGCAGAGCGACTCCAGCCCACTCTGGCCAGCCAGCTGCTCTGGATCACAGCACTGCTTTCCACGGGCGAGGCAAACACCCTTAAGACCTGGACACTGTTAAGACCTGGACCTTAACTAGGGCTACCCGTAAGTAACGGAATTTAATAAAGCCAGACTTCTAACTTTCTAGAAACAGGAATCGCAGATTTAAGGAATTTCTGTCGAATGTATATGAAGATTCTGTGTTTCACACACACTTAGAGGACTGCCCAATGAAACTTGCTCCTTTGAGAGACAGCAGATTCAAACTGTCAAAAGGATCAGTCATTTCTTTTAATCTCAAAACTTTAGCCCTAGATGTGACCATTACAGATCCCAGCATATCTTGTTCATCTGGCAGTGGTGCTAGTGGAGCCTTTTAACCACACCTGCACCCCAACCCCTCACTTTGGATATGATTTCTCCCCACTCTGAATTAAGAATCACCTCTTAAGACAACTCTGAGAGTCTTAATGAATCCTGGGCTTCAATCGATGCTGTTATTCCGATGCTCTCACTTTCTGACTGCACAGGTCTACTCTGCATCTAAAGTTACAAGGGAAGGGGATATGTTCTGAGAACTGTAGATGGGACTCAAGGGATTATTAGGTAAGGAGAAATTACTACAAACTGCAAGAGGGTAGGGAAGAAAGATGACAGAGGGCAATACATGCAGTGGGTTAGGTCAACAGGAAACACCTCCTATACTCACACCATGATTTCCAACTCAGCCTGTTCCCCAAACCTCCAGTAATAAATGTTTCCAATTTTATGACAGAAAACACAGGATTCACTTTAACAAATTATGCTTTTCTTCCAACTTTAATAGGTATTGGTCCTGCAAAGGTATCTGAACTCAATTTGAAACAACGATTCCTGTAGGTCCGGGGAGGTGTGACACAGCACAAGGCCACCCTGAACCAGCCAGACAGCGAAACAACAGGAGATGCTGGGAGGAACCAACTTCACCACCCTCACAAGCCTTATCAGCTCCAAGCTGAGCAAGTCTGGGGTGGCAAAGAAGAGGTAGGTGAAATTCTCGCTGACTAAAAAAAATGCATACTGCCAACTCATCACTGTACTACCAACTCAATTTTCCCAAGAGGATTTCCAAGGTATTTCTAAATCATTTCAGGAAAACGAGGGCTCGTGTTAGCATGGCAGATGTCAAATCACATATGGCATGCCCTGCTGTCGGGGCACAACAGCCATGAGCTTCTTAGAACGGCCAGCCAATCAGAGCCAGCTCTTGGCAGACTCCCTTGAAGTTTGCTTTGTACAGGGATAAGCCTTTGGCAGGTAAAGCTCTCACCACTGCAGAGGCACAAGCATTAGCCAAAGAAAGTCCCTCAGGCATCATGGTGCAGCGGATGCCTTGAGGCAGGGACTGGGCTGTGATCATCTTTAAACCCCGTCTGCCTAAGACTGTGTCTTGCAAAGAGCAAGCACTCAATAAATTTCTGTTACATGGATAAGAAAATGGGCAGGGAATAAATCCTAAAATCATAGTAATATTTAAATCTACCCCTGTCCCAACCTTTTTTTCTTTAGGCAAACCCAGCTCCTTACTAGAATACACATGGCTGTTTGGGATGTGTCTTCTGCCTATCTTTTCAACTTGCCTAGACGTTCCGCTATGCTGACTGTACCCTCCCCTCCTACCATTTTCCCCGTGCTGTTTCTCACCTCCAAGCCTTTGCTCGTGCTGTGCCCTCTCCTGGGAAAGCCCTCCTTCCCTCTTTATTTGATTCATTTCCATTGTTCCCTCTAAGACTCATATTATTCCCTTCAGGGAACTTTCTCTGACATCTCCTTCCACCTCCCTCACATCTTTGTTAGGTACCCACTTTGAAGTGCTCCCATAACACCCTCTACACAATCCTAAGAATATCTTATACTTCCCACGTGGCAAGTGGTATAACCTTCAAGTATTTGTAGCCCCAACTAGATTCTTGAATTCTTTAAATTAGGGACTGTTTTATCCATGCTTGTGTCCCCAACACATAGCATTGGACTTTATCTAAGAGGATGTTCAATGTTTGATGAATAAATAAATTAATGATTGGCAGGGAATCTGGAGTCAGAGCTCAGGAAACATAGTTCTCCCTAGGGGCAGGACAGGGATAAAGATACAGACGTACAGAATGGACCTGAGGACACGGGGGTGGCGGGGAAGCTGGGACGAAGTGAGAGTAGCATTGACATATGTACACTACCAAATATAGATAGCTAGTGGGAAGCAGCCGCATAGCACAGGGAGATCAGCTCCGTGCTTTGTGACCACCTAGAGGGGTGGGAAAGGGAGAGTGGGAGGGAGGCTCAAGAGGGAGGGGATATGGAGACATATGTATACGTATAGCTGACTCACTTTGTTGTACAGCAGAAACTAACACCACATTGTAAAGCAATTATACTCCAATAAAGACGTACAAAAACAAAAACACATAGTTCTCTTCAGCCTCTCATGATCCCCAACCATGTGGATGTTACTGCTTTCAGACAGAGAAGGAATCTTCTGATTACTATTGTAAAAAGAAAGTCACCTGACACAAATTTGGTGGGACACAGAAATGATGGGGAAAAGGAGAGGAGAGGTATGCAAGCTGGCAATGATGCCTGATCTCCCCCTTGAGGGTACAAATTCCAATTCTGGTGGGAGACACAGACAGCAGGCACGGAGTCCACTTAAAAGATGTCACTAGGCTTCCCTAGTGGCGCAGTGGTTGAGAGTCCGCCTGTCGATGCAGGGACACGGGTTCGTGCCCCGGTCCGGGAAGATCCCACATGCCGCGGAATGACTGGGCCCATGAGCCATGGCCGCTGAGCCTGCACTCCGCAACGGGAGAGGCCACAACAGTGAGAGGCCCACGTACCGCCAAAAAAAAAAAAAAAAAAAAAAAAAAAGATGTCACTATTCTTCATGGGGGCAATATAAAGATTTTTTTCCTCCTCAAACTTTTTAGGGATCCTGGAGAATGTCTTGCTCACTGCACTTTCTTCATATGACCCACAAGGAAACCAGGGTCGAGAGAGATCAGGTGACACATCACCTCAGTGGCTGAATCTGGGGAAAAGCCCAGGTCTCCAGAATTCAAATCCAGTCCTCTACAGGACCGGGTGATCTGACCGCCCCTCTGCCCCAGTCACACTTTGCCCATCCCAAACCTAAGAGGTGCTGTCTGGCTGGGCCGGCACCCTCCGCGGTTCACAGACCTGGCCCTGCTGAGGCTGTGCAATGATGATCTGCCCGGGCTGGATGGTGGTTGTGGAGCTGGTGGTCTGCTGGCCTTGCTGCTGTCCCTGGACCTGGACGGCAGTGGGCTGCTGAGCCAGCGTGAAGTAGTACTGGACGGGCTCGGCAGGAGTCACAGATTGACGCACCTCCTCCTGTGGGGCAGAAGGAGGGGCAGGTAAGAGGAAAAGAACCGGCTCAGCAGCTGCCACAGTGAATTTCCACTCTTCCCCCAAATGGGCTCTGTGCAGTTGCCTGCTGAACGCTGAGCTCTCCACATCTGAAGCCAAGAGAAAGTGGAATTCGAAGAGACCAGTTGTGCTAAATCACACTAAAAATAACAGATTCCATAGGCTTCACAAAACATACAGCCAATTTTCTGAAGTACAGAGTAATCACCCACTGCGTGATGAGTTGCAAATGGGCAAATAATTACTGTAACTAAAAACCACGCACTAGCAGTGCTTGATAGTAAATGCCGTCAAGGCCTATGACCTGAGAAGAGTGCTAACGGCAAGCACCCCAAATACCATGCTCTCAGGCTGGCTCCCAATCTCCCAAATAGGCAGCACTCTCTGTATTTCGTTCCCACCACCTCAGGAGGGAACGAGCAGGGGAAAGGGAAACAGGGCTTTCTCTGGATTGGAATTTCAGAATCAAATGTCAGGATCAAGAACACTGGTAGGCAAGAGCCCAGCTTTTCAGAGCATGTCGAGAGCTCTGTGGTCACTGAGGCCACGTCTATCCAGCATCACATCTGGTTTGGTGGTACTTAGCCACAGAAGCGCAACCCAGGGGGCCTGAGGGACAGCCCTCCAGTGGGGTGGCCTCTGGCCGATCTGCTGGGTGAAGAGACCGTTCCTTCTTCAGCTGACGTTTTCCATGGCAGAAGGAGTAAACAACCCTCTCCCAGCCACCTCGAGCTCACAGCTGAGAGTGTAGGATGTTTACACACACTACGGCATGGTTACAGCCTGAGGGTCCAGGGTTGGCCGGCCCCTGACCACTGACACAGATCGGCGTCTGCTCCGGAGGGCCCTGCGACACATGGTGCCCTGCCTGGGACAACAAAAACAACAGAAACATACAACCACTTGGGCTTGTTGAGCAAAATATCAGCTAAATTTACTCACTTCCATGTTCTGGACTAAGTTTGCCAGGTTCAAGGAAAGAGGAAAAGAAGACACTTCTTCAAGGTATAGAGACCCTGTGGACCAAAGCTCTCCAGAGTGACATTTACAAAGTTGGTACTGACCCCATCCCCAATCTGTGCTTCCAAAGTCCGTTTCTCATTACAGTTTTTTTGTACTTGCTTGGAAAATTCTACTACTTTCCCTGCTAGAATGAAAGCCCTGTGAAGGCAAAGCCTCGCTCTCTCTTGCTCCCTCCCCACTGTCGCTACCACCTGTCTCCTTGCAGGCACTCAATAAGCAGTTGCTGAATGATGAATGGATTCATAGAGCCAGGCAGACAACCGGAGGTAGGAAAGTACTTTTTTTAACCCAAGTTGGGAGTATGACAAATTCTCTTGAACCCAACAGCTGTTAGCAATAGAAAAGAATCCCTAATTTCTTGCTACCTCTAGGATTCTGTGGCCGTAGTGCAGGAGACACGCCTGTCTGCTAAAGAACGGGGTTGGGTATTCTTTTGCTTGCCCGGTGACTGGGGGCCCAGGATACTAAAACTAGGACTCCTGATATCTAGCCCCTGAGGAACTTGGATCTCTGCATGACAAGGTTCCCTAATGGCCATTCACCCAGTCTAGGCAGACACTTGTAACATTCTGGGTTTCTAAGCTAGTCCTCAAACATGAACCAACTTTCTAAGTTAATGCATTCTGTGCTTCAGGCCCAAACAGTTTGAACCCTGGACATGATCATGCTGAGGCAGAAGAAAAAGGAGGTCCCCTTTTATTTTCATCTAGGTCTCAGTTTCCAGAACAACTTAACTGTGACAACATCACCTCCACTTCAACTCCAACTTCTCACCATTATAAATAAAGGTCAGCCAGTCAACTTGATCTTGGCTGTGACAGGGATAATACTGACACCCTCCTTAGCGAAGAAACAAAGGCCAACTGCTCTTTTCAAGGCTCCTGAAATAGGTTCAATGAATTTATTTTCCACTCAGAACTCCCTTCCCATTCTACAAGAAACATCAACCACTAAAATCCAAACTAACTTGGAAAAGCTCTTGGGTGATGAGAGGGTACAGAGGACTCAGACCCCTAGAACTAACTTGCAGGAAGTCTTAGGGAGTAGGGAGCCACTGGCATTTATCAGCCCTGACCTGTCATTGTTCTGTCTCCAGTTATCCTTGACTGTAGCTAATCTGCAAGTGAATATGGTCTTTTTGCCAGACAAATAGCAAACCCTTTAAGTACCACTTTCAGAAGCTAAAATATCCCTTGCCAAAAGCTGTGAGAACATGTAAAGAGCTTCTCCTATGATGCCTACTGTATGCTCTTAAACTGTTTATGAACTAGGCAGTGTCTAGGACACTTCTGTGAGTATCAAATAGAGGCACCAAGGTTTGTGTTGTGAGGACAGGCACGACAGCTCTCAAATCATTGGAATGGAAGGAGGCATATCTAAGCTTCTTCTGCATTATGAATACTCATTCCGCCAATGGAGGTCAAGCTAGTAAGGGAGTGATTATGATTGGTTTAAAGAAATGGGTGAAGAGGAAATGACATTTCAATGAGCAGGAACTTTCAACTCACAGTTTTAGTGGGGCAGAAGTCAGGCCTCAACTATCTTCTGCTTGAGTAGTCTTGCTTCCCCAAAGAACAAGAAGACATCCCCACGCACCTCAGAGAAGTCAAGGGCCTTAGATGCACAACTCAGTATTTCTGGCTCGTTTCTTTCCCGAGCAGTGGGAAATCACCCCCTGTGCCAGAACAATTTCTGAATGACTGGATCAATCCGGAATGGGGCGCCTGCCCAGCTTTAGCAGTGGCCTCCCCAACCAGAGTGCCTGCTCTTAGAATCTCTTCAGAAGTAGAGTCTGATAGACAACGCCAGAGAACGAGCAGCCTCACGTCCTAGAGCCATCACCACAGTGCTGTGCAGCCAGCCCCAGACTGGAAAAAAGCACATTTGCTTCAGTAGCAAGAATGAACTGCTCCCTCCTTCAGAAAGGGTGAGTTCTGGAGAGTAGGCGCTTTTAAAGGACTTAAGGAAGGTGCCAGCCAATTTGGAGCTTGGGAAAACATCATGTCTACAGAGGATTAAAAGTGCTATCTTAGAATTTCAGGCCAGCTTTCAGCAATCTCAACCTTTCAAACGCCAGGCAGTAGCTCTCCCGAATAGGATGCCGATCAATGGCCTGAACACCTGCAAAGAACTGAACCTGTTTAGTTCAGAAACTGAGCTGTTTCAGCTAGACACACTTTAAAGGAGATGGATCATAGCATTCTGAGTCAGGCTAGGATGTAACAAGGAGCTCTCTGACACCCTAAGAGAGTGAAGCACTGAGGACGCTGGAGGAAGGGAGAGGACATGACCATTCTCTCTAGCAAGCTGGCTCGGCAGGCAGCCCCAGGGAACAAGCAGGAGTTGGTGCAAGGAGCCCGAGCAAGGCCTGATTTTGTCACAGAGCTCACCACCTTGGTCTAAAGGGGGCTTCTGAAACAAATTCCAACAAGGAGAATGGGTGAATGCTATCAACTGTTCTGAAGGAAGCGAAGTGGTCTGAGTTCTTGTGGTGACTTCTCAGAGAGGAGGGAAGCACTAAGAGAGGAACTGAGCCGTGGGCACAAACCTGCAATGTTTCAAAGGCGATGCACAGTGGGACGACCGTGGCAGCCTGCCGCTGTAAACATCCGACTGAAAGCTCCCTGGAACGCCTTACAGCTTCCAGTCAAGGATGTTTACAGTAGCAAAGACTGCCCAGAAAGAACGAAGACGCAGTGAGGCACCCCGCTCTAGGAAGGAGGTGCAGAGGGCTTGCTAACCCAAAGACCCTCAGGCAGGGTCGGGATTACAAAGGGTGTTTAAGATGCCCACTTCTCCTACACTCTCTTACTCGTTATTAACACGAGACGGCACAGGAGAATGGTCGTCACTGAATGACTCCTGTTTCTAAAGACAATACACTATGAAATAATTCATTAAAAACACTTAAAATTTTATTAACAAAACAGAGAAAGCAGATCAAGGCTCAGCTTTGCTCCTGCCAGACTCTGCCACTATCCCCCAAGCATCTCTACTACATCTAGTGAGTCATGCAATCTGCATGCCTAAAATGATGAGCTACACGGGAGAGGGGTCTATCACAATTGCAATTAAGAGCTTTATGCACCCAAAGTGCTGAAAAACAATGGTGTGACCTCTGGAGAGGAGCAGACAGAAGAGCAGGAAAGGCAGACACTCACATTCTTTCTCATGACTGCTTAGAAAGGTTGCTTAAATGGTGGTTCTCAAATATGGTTACACATTAAAAGCATCCGGAGAGCTTTAAAAAGCACTAATGCCTGGGCCTCCCCCTCACAGATTCTGATTCAGCTGGTGTAGGGGCGGGGCCTAGGGACTGGTATTTTTTAAACCCTAACAGGTGATTCTAAAGTGCAGCCAGTGCACTGTGCAGAGAACCACAATCTAGACTAAGAGAAAACCCAGTCCACTCACTCCAGACACCACTATGCACACACAGAAGCTGTTTCTTGGAAATCTAAAATCTGTAACTTGCTCTCCCATCCCAGATTAAGAACTCTGACAGACTTCCTAGGATACCTCGAAATGAGCTTCACTTTACTGTTGTAACTAAAGTCTTTCATTTTCATTTTGTCTGTTTTCACTGAAATTCCACCTCAGAGGCACTGAGTTAAAAGCATCCCTAAATGAGTAACAGGAGGAGATGTTAAGGATGGATCTGGTCTACAGAAAGAAAAGCAAAAGAAGAGCAAATGACTTGTGCTGAGAGAGGAAAAGGAGCGTATCCGACACCAGGAGGCAAGGCACTCTCTAGTCAGCAGCAGCAGCAGCAGGAGCAATGCCTTCCCAGCTCACCTGACGCTTTGGTGGTTTCAGCTCATCTCTTGGAACAATATCGATGAGAAAGTCAAACTGATCAAATTTTGTAATTGCCATGGCGATATCATTCCTCTGTAACAAAGAAAAGCAGAGTGAAAAATTAGCCTGGGGAGAAACTAGTTCACCTGGCTTTCTACTCTCCAAGTTACAAGTAAGGTAAGATGATGACTTCTAAGCCAAATTAAATACCCATGGCCAAGCCTACAGGCCAAAAGTAGTACAACCAAACTCTTATAAACTTCAAATGATCAGACTTGATGGACAAACACTGACAAAAAAGAGATAAATGTAGCTCATGCTCTACAAACTGTATATTTGAGCCTCCAACTATTACCACTTCTGCTGGATCCTAAATTATCATCCTCCAGATACATCTGTACAAATCTAGCAATCTTAACTGACACATTTCTGGTCATTCTGTGGTTAGCAAGGTTAGACTATCATTCAACCTTATAACTTTTTAAGCCCCTAAATAATATTCTGGCTCTTTGGTTCACAAGTAGTTATAATCTATTTTGAATCCCTTTGCTGAAATCCTAATTCAGTAACTTTTTGCAATATTTTCTAGTCATCGGATCTATATATGTTAGTTCCTACAAGGCTACAATTTTTATTTTGAAATTGAAAATCACAATGTCAAATCCACAGTTTAAATCTTGTTCCACATGACATGAACACTGGAAGCCTGAAGTCACTAGAATAGAGGCAGGGTGGGTAGAGACCAAGTCAGCTGACTAAAGCTACTGAAACCAAGGTCTGCTCTGATGGCGTTCTTTCTAAGAGTGACATTCCCTTTCTTTAAATAATAAAATTAAAAGATTTTTAATTAAAAACCAACACACTATGTATACTTAAGATCTGTGTACTTCACTGTATGACAATTTTAAAGCAAAGGAAAAAACCGAAAAAAATAGTGAACCATGGTGAGTGAGACATATGCTGAAGTGTTCAGGGGAATGTAAACTTTTAAATGCATATAAAAATAGATGACTTGGGGACTTCCCTGATGGCGCAGTAGTTAAGAATCCGCCTGTCAATGCAGGGTACATGGGTTCAAGCCCTGGTCCGGGAAGATACCACATGCCACAGAGCAACTAAGCCTGTGTGCCACAACTACTGAGCCTGTGCTCCAGAGCCCACGTGCCACAATTACTGAAGCCCGCACACATAGAGCCCATGCTCTGCAACAAGCCACCGCAATGAGAAGCCCACGCATTGCAACGAAGAGTAGCCCCCACTTGCCCACACGCAGCAATGAAGACACAGTGCAGCCAAAAATAAATTAAAAATAAAAACAAATAAATAAACTGACTTTGGAGCAGCAATGGTGGCTGTGCATCTTCAAAAAAAAAAATAGATGACTTGATGGATAGAGAGAAAGACAGACATGGGAACAAAACAAGTAAAATGTTAACGGTAGGATCTAGGCGGTCAGTATACAGGTGTTCACTGTAAACTCTGCTTATGTTTAAATTATTTTGTGTGTTAGCATGTTGACTTTTCCAACATAATAAAATGTTGGAGGGAAAAGTCAACATGCTAACAGAAATCCTTAGCAAGCCCTATATATCGCATCTTAAAAGAAGGTGACTCATCAGACAAAATAGGAGGGGATGGAAATTTTCCTTCCCTTGTCTTTGTGATGGCCCCAAGCCATTGAAATGCAAAACTCCAGTCCACCCTTCTTGCCAGCCACCAGCTTGATAATAAACCCTCCCGACTGAAGCAGGGCGCATCTTAAGGCTGCCAGGTCTCATTTAAGATTAGTACGATATAGTATCATGTTCTTGATGATGTCACCTACTCAAGCTACCCAAACGGCTCATCAATGGATAGAATGAGGGGGAGAAAAAAAAATCACCTCCAAACATACACCAAAGTGTTCTACAGAATTTTGGAAACAGATATACTTAAATGGGTCTTTTTAACATTTTTATTTTGCCTTTTTTAATGCTAGTATTTTACTGATTATCATATTTAGTAAAAAAAAAAAAAAATACAGAAATCTTAAGTACACAGCTTGATGAATTTGAATAAATATATGCACCCAGGTAGCTATCACCCAGATAAGAACAAAGTTTCCTTCTATCCCTTTCCAGTCAACTTCCTTCCCCTACCAATCTGAGGCAACAACAACTCTGATTTCTATCATCACAGATGGTGATAGTATATGGTGTACATGCTATGTAATTTTTTCCTCTGGTTTCTTTTGCTTAATATTATTGAGATTCATCCATGTTGTTGTATGAATAAACAGTTTGCTCCTTTTATTGTTGAGTAGTAATCCATTTTATGAATATATCAATTTGTTAATATATTTACATCTTGATGGACATTTGAGTTGTTTCCAGTTTTTGGCTATTATAAACAAGGTTGTTATGAACATTCCAATACAACAATGTCCACACTTGGGTGTACACGTAGGAGTGGTATGGCTGGGTCTTAGAATAAGGAACATGTTTAACTTTATTAGAAAGTGCCAAATAGTTTTCCAAGGTGATCGCACCTTACATTCTGACCAGCAATAAATGTTTCAGTCACTTCACTTCCTTGTCAACACTTGGTATTGTCAGTCTTTTTTATTTTAGCCATTGTAGTGGGTGTAAACCAGTATCTCATTGTGGTTTTAATCTGTATTTCCCCGATGACAAATGATGTTGTATACCTTTTCATATGCTTATTGGTCATCTGGGTATCTTCTTTTTTGAAGGGCCTGTTCAAGTGCTTTGCCCATTTTATTTTTTAATCTGAATTGATCTTGAAGGTAGCTTTAATTGGATCTCTCTAAATTCATAGACTTCCTTCAAGACAGCATAAAATAAGTTTTCAGTGTCTGGCTGCACTAGAATATAGACTTCCCAAGGGTAGGAATTTTTGTCTGTTTTGTGTATTAGTCCCCAGGGCCTAGAACAGTGCTTGGCACATTGTGGGTATTCATTTAGTATCTGTAGATAAATGAATAAAAGCATGCATTTTCAACTTTGGAGATAAAGGGAAACAGAAAGCATAATTTACTTCCTTGGCTTTGTTGTTAAAATACTGTCACTATTGTACCTGTCACACCCTTCCTCTTATGTCTGGGAAACCTTTCCTCTAACAACTAGGGCCTGGATGTTGAGCGGAGGGCCTCTAGAGCCAATGACCAAGGGGTCCTCATACAACATGAATGCTGATTTGCTGGATTAAAATAAAAAAGGAAACATGAAAGAAGAAGAAAAGGATTCCCAGGAAAGTAGGGAAGAAACAAAAAGGCTAATGAGGTTAGTGAGACTATTCTTCCTGGGACTGTTCTTTTCTGGAGTCTCTCAAGGCTTCCAACCAGAAGTTGTTTAGATCTGGAAACAGATAAATACCACTTTAGCCTCTGTTTATAGTGAGAGCTCACCAAGTACAAAGTTCAGTCACTGAGCTGTGAAAAACAGGAGAGTTGGAAATTAAGATTCTTGGTGGGGAAATACAGACTATCTTGGCTATATGGTCTGCCTGCCTCCCAGCAGTAGAGGAAGATGCCAGTTAAACATATCAGCTTGACAGAGTGCTAAGGAAAAACAAAAACTTTGGTCCAAAGCCATGCAACAGAAGAAGGCAAAGGCAGCTCTTGCCTAATTTTCTACAATATTACCTGAAGAGTCCGGCGCTTGTTATCCTCTGTGTGGATCCAGGCTCGAAGAGTCAACTCAGTGATAAAAATCTGGGCCGCCTTGGCAAACAGCACAGGGGCTTCTGCACTGATCATCTGTAACAGACGTAGGCCCTCCCTGTCAATCACCAGCAAGTCATTCAAACCAGTCAGTTCGTCCCTTACCTCATGTCCTACTCTTGGGCTATGGGGCAAGGGCTAGAAAACAAGATGGTGGTAGCCTTACAAGATTCCAAGGTAAAATAAATCCACGAGTAGGGACAAAGCAGGTAGCAGACAGAAGAGGGAGAGGGAAAAAGGATATTTATTTAGCACCTACCATGCACTTTCTTTCTCTCATAATAGCCTTTCAGAGAAACTAGGGTTTAGGAGAGATGAAGTGATTTGCCTATGTCCATAGAGCCAGTAAGTGGTAGGACTTAGGTTCTAATCCAAAGGGAGACAATGTGGAGAAAGATGATGAGTATGAGAGCCAACGGATTTAGGGAAAATCTCTGGCTTCCCATCCTTTTGGGCTTTATTTTTCACATAGTGAAAAGAAAAAGGATAACAACCTTCCAGGGTTGCTGTGGGAATCAAATGAGATAATATATATAAAAGCACCCAGCACAAGGCCTGGCACACAGTAAGTGCTCAAGTAATGCAAGCTGCCTTGCCAAGTCTGAATTCAAAGTTCAAACTCTTGGTCAAACAAAGCTCTGAACCCTTGGTGAGGTGCTCTATGCAGGATATAGCCACGGGAAGAGCTCTGGAGTTAAGGAAGTAGGAGGTGAGAATTGGGATCTTGGTTCTCCTACTCTGGGTGAGACACTTTTAACCTCTTTGTGTCTATTTCCATATCTATAGAATGGTGAAACTAACAATTCTTATCCTATCAAATCTCTCAGGGTTACCATGAGGAAGAAGTGAGCTAATAAAAGGGAAAACTGTGGTAAACTGTTAGCTTTCCACACAAATACAAGAGACTATCAATTTTGAGTGGAAAGAGAGACAGTTGCTCTTTTCCTGTGAGAACTGTAACAGGATGTGGACTCCTAGGAATACAGAAAAGGCCACCCCCAAGTAAATCCTCTCACAAGTATAAATCATGTGAAACAACTTACAGATTGAAAAGTTAGAACAAGTGCAATATCATTATCAAACATTTCTTAGAGCTCAGATCAACAAACTAGAGATTGCAATAAGATGCTAGGAAGACGTCACTGTCCTGTTGATGTGATGATACATGTTCACATTACATAGTGGAAAGAATCGGGCGATTCAAAAAGCAAATACTCAGCATCTTTTCAACATCTGGAAAACAGGATATCCCCAATTTTCAGAGAAGACCATACAACAATTAAAACTGTTCAATTTTAGCTCACATAACAATTTTAGAGAGAATCCAAATAAAAAAGCAACAGACAATATTATTTTTGTTTAATTAGACTTTGAGCTCTAGAGAAATGAGCAATAATTTTCCCATCGTTTTACTTTCAATATGAATAATGAAAATGAATGTGAATTCACCTTCACATCTTCATCCAGTTTCATAATCTTCTTAATACGAGCCAGTGGGAGTTCCTGTACTCGGAAATCTTTCTGAAATGAGTAACAACAGGTACATAAATAGTAGGAATAATCAACAGGGTATGACAGGCAGCATGAAACACTCTGATTGGTTTAGTCCCTCCTTTCAGAAAATATGGCAGGAGAGGAAGTACAAATGAAATGAACAAAATACAAGCTCTAGAGGCAAAATACTTCTTAACCAAGGCAGAGCTTCAAACAAAGGGTTTCAGGATGAACTTATGATGGCTTCTAATAGTGCCCTCATGAAAAGTGGCCCCAAACAATACCAGATTCTTTGCCAGCACGATATAGAGATGTATTATACGTGTCTTCCCCTCACCCAAGAAAGTTTACCAGCTTGCATGCAGGTTAAAATGAGACTTTTGTCTTAGGGATTTTCCTCCAGTTCTTCCTTCTAATCAAGGAATGCAAGGGCAAGTGCCAGCAGCACCTGGCCATAGTGACTGTTCTCACCAGCCAGCGTGGCACTGCCTATTTCCTTTTTTTGTTTTTTTTTTTTGCGGTACGCGGGCCTCTCACTGTTGTGTCCTCTCCCGTTGCGGAGCACAGGCTCCGGACGCGCAGGCTCAGCGGCCACGGCTCACGGGCCCAGCCGCTCCGCGGCATGTGGGATCTTCCCGGACTGGGGCACGAACCCGTGTCCCCTGCATCGGCAGGCGGACTCTCAACCACTGCGCCACCAGGGAAGCCCGGCACTGCCTATTTCTGACCTTTGCACTAATGTGACATCAGAAATTGGGGAGGAGCTCCTTTCCCATCACAGCAGCAAAGGCCTTGTCTCCAAAACCTGCTTGGGGGTGGGGGTGGGAGTAGAAGAGTATGGAAAAAGGGTGAGGGTGAATATATCAGCTGTCATTTAGGAATAGCCCTGTCAATTTTTTCTTAACAAACATGACTAAGCTGGGGAGAAACCATTTAACTTTACTGTGGATAGGATTTAGGAAAGGGATTTTCGATTAGCACTACTCAATTACTTGCAGTTTAAGCGCTTTTTCATTTTATTTTGATACTACTGGTATTTAAACACATGGCCAATGATGGATGCAATTCTAGAAATAAAAATCAATTTTGGGTTTCAGAGCTGCAATGAAGAGAAAGGTGCAAAGGCAGAGATTAGCTAAAATCAGCAAAATCCCTACTGGGACTAGGTGTCAAATGATTGATTCTATAAGTGGTCTGAAATGTGACTCAATATGCTCACCTGGGAATTTACATCATCACATTACGGAGGAAGGAGCTCTTATTTGAGATTTGGTATAATTAACATGCATTAGTGAACTTTCTTTTCCAAGACCAACAGAAAACCTCAACTATACATCAAAGAAGGCAGTGGGGCATTTTGGAAAAACATCACCAGCCTTTCCAGACTCTATTTTATGAATACAGAAGAGCAACTATTAGGATAAAATGTACACCGAGACATCTTACTTACTTACTTACTTACTTACTTTATTTATTTGGCCATGCCGGGCGGCATGCAGGATCTTAGTTCCCCGACCAGGGACTGAACCCATGCCCCCTGCAGTGGAAGCATGGAGTCCTAACCACTGCACCGCCAGGGAAGTCCCAAGACATCTAATTACTCCACCCAAACCCAACAAGCTGCTTGGCTACCACTCACCTCTACAAATTTCCAACACTAATTTTTCATCCTTTCCTTTTCCAAATTAGGTATCAGCATTTTCCATAAGCCTCTAAAAACCTAACCCTGGAGTGGTAGAGGCTTAGAAGTCCAGTTTATTAAAGTTTCACCAAAAGGAGACAGCAGGACACATACTATTCTTATTTTTTCTCCTCCTCTTTCATTTATTACTTCATGCAACTCAAGTAACAGCAAATGTATGATACCTACTACTATGCGGAAGATGCAAATATATTCTTACCTTTGAATAGCCAAATAGTTTAATTGTTAGAGACTAACACATGAGAACATTATAATCCCCTATCCTATACTAGAATGGGGGGTAAAATCCCACACGGAAAGGAAAGAAATGACCGGCTGGCAATGGGAGGTGTGGGGCGCTGGAGTGAGCGAGAGGAACTGGCAAATGTTCCACAGAGGGACTGAATCTCAATTATATCTAGGGATACTGCAAATCTGCTTGCTGGAAAAGTATGTTAATCAGACAGAAGAAACAGCATGCACAGAAGCACAGAGACAAAACCCTGGCCTATTTAAGTTTTCGATGTATGACCTAAGTACAGAGGGGAACAGTAGGAAAGGGAATGCTGGATTGGGGCCAGATTCTAAAGGGATTTTTAAAAAAACATTTAACTACAGAAATCAATCACTGGTCTTCTTTCTTGTGTGGCATATCACACAAAATGATGATGTTAAACAGAAATGCCAAAGAGAATACTAGGGATGATAATTCCTTTGGAAGGCCTCCCAGGATGATACACAAAGAACAAGATTATGACCACAAGATTTAGGTCTCTTGCAAGCGTGCTCTCATTTGGCTTGGTTATTTAATATAATTCCCACAAGACTGTTCTAAGATTACTTAACTAAAGCCCAAAGCTAATAAAAAGACCTCTTTCCCTAACTTGAAAGAATAAAATATTACTTTTAGAATTTCTATGAGACTATAATTAAAAGAAAAAACAAGAAAAGGTCAAGGATATCATCCCCACCTTGATGATGTGTAAAATGAGGCAGAAATTTACAAAAAGCTCTGCTCTAAGCCCCACCAACCTTTTCTTTTGTGAGAAACTTTCTCATGATCCCCAAACCTTGAGATCTTAAAGGATCTTCAGATGTGTGTGTGTGGCTCATTATCGCTGACAACAGCCCAGTTTTCTATAATCTCAGCCTAGCTTTCCAGTCACATGTAAGGGTTTACAACAAGCTTATTGGAGAGGGGAGCCCCTTCACTATCAGTAAATTGGCTTTCAAGTCAATGCTCCCCTTGTCATTGGAAACCATGCAACTGACATGAGTAACATTAAACTTCTTCTCCCGATGCTAATCCAAGTGGAAGAACAACTAACACATTTTACTCTTGGAAGTGACATCAGCATCGTAGAAGAGCAGATTCTCTCAGAACATTCTCATGCTCTTGACCACAACCAAAGAACTACACTTAAAAATGCTGCCAAGGGGGCTTCTCTGGTGGCGCAGTGGTTGAGAGTCCGCCTGCCGATGCAGGGGACACGGGTTCGTGCCCCGGTCCGGGAAGATCCCACATGCTGCGGAGCGGCTAGGCCTGTGAGCCATGGCTGCTGAGCCTGCGCGTCCAGAGCCTGTGCTCCGCAACGGGAGAGGCCACGGCAGTGAGAGGCCCGCATACCGCAAAAAAAAAAAAAACAAAAAAAAAACAAAAAACGCTGCCAACTGAAATTGCCGAATTTCAAGAAGTCTGAATTCACTCAATGAGAGCTGAAAGCCAAAGAAAAGTCAATGGGTCTCAGGCTGCATTAAAGAACATCCACAGTCTCAAACATGATGAGAAACCTTTTGCAGGCCTACCTAGTCAGGCACTCACTCCGGCAAAGTCAAGATTCTATCCTCTCGAAAGCAGTGATTCTCAACCTTGGCAACATGTTAGAATCACCTGGGGGAGCTTTTGAAAAACAAGATGTCTGCGCTTTACCCCAGACTAAGTGAATCAGGAACTCTAGGGAGTGGAGTCCTGGCATCACATTTTTTGAAAACTACCCTGGTGACTGTAATCCACAGTGAGGGTTAAGGACCACTGCTTTAAAGCCTTGTTGCTCCAAGTGAGGTCCCTAGACCAGCAATGGCATCATCTGGGAACTCAAAAGAAATGCAGAATCTCAGGCTCCAATCCAAACCTCCTAAATCAAAATCTGTATTTCAACATGACCCTTATGTTGTTCACATATAGACAATAAATTCTGAGAAGCACTGCTCTACAGGAAGAGCTCAAACAGCACAGGACCTATTTTTTAACAGTCCACCAACCTTTACCTCCAAGTTCTTATTTAAATGGTTATCTGATTTGATTGTAATGGTGGAAATGTCATCTTCCAATCTGGAGGCATTGAAGAATGAAAAGATATAATTGGCGATTAAAAGAAAGTGACCTAAGCATTAAATTACAGCTAACTGAAGGCTAAATGGGATGTACGGAAGGAGCTTAAAGGAGGATTAGATTTTTCTTTAAGATTCAGCATTACTGCCTCCCCATCTGCCCCCCAAAAGAGAAAAGTGAGCTTCTTCTTCCCCCCTTTCGAAGAGGTCTAGAAGGGTAAAATTCAATGCCAAGAAGTCTATTAATTATTGTTCCCAGAGTTCTGCTAAGCAGGAATACAGTATTTTACACAATCATCCTGGTGTACGATCATTTTGGTATGATTTTTAACCAACTTCAATTCCAGCTGAACACCATCTGGGTTTATGGACAACGCAGAGCTTTCAAGAATGAGGAGAGCCTGATGGCCAAGCTGAGATGAAAGACAAATCGCTTTTGCAGAACACAGACCAAAACGACTGGGGCCAATGTCTCCAATACATCATGAATTATATCATCTAGCAAACTTCAATTACTTGTTTTTGGAACATCTTTGTCCCAGTCATAGAGAGACCACAACACCTTATGAGTATTCTCATAAGTTTTATTTACGTTTGGATGGTTTGAACATATGGATTTTTTAAAAAATCTGGTAGATACTTTGAGATGTCAACCTAAGAGGCTCTGACATATCTGAGGAAGTCTGGTTGTAAGTGCTGTTGAGTTCAGGAAAGGCACAGACTAAACACTAAAACGTCAGCCACGTTACACAGGCAGAAGTGCAGTCAGAGGAGCAGATGCCTTCTTCGTGTGCCATAGGCAGAGGGAAAATAAAAGTTTTACAAAGGGACTTTATTGGATTGCATTCTCACTCCAACTTGGCACTATGTTGCTTCACACTAACTCTGAAGCGGAGGAATCTGATTCATTCAAATATTTAACGTGCACCTATTTTATGCCAAACATCATTCTAAGCATCTGATGTAAGAGATACGATGGTAGCAGTCTAGGAGTCTTTTCTCAGGGGTACACAGGAGGAAATTTTTAGTTAGCCATCAATAGGAGAATGATTAAAGAAGACTTTCCTCCTTGATCTTCTTTCTCCTTACTCATAAAACTTGAACTACAAGTGAATTCCTCAAAGTAACCCACTTTTAAAAAAAATAAATTTATTTATTTATTTATTTCTGGCTGCATTGGGTCTTCATTGCTGTATGCGGGCTTTCTCTAGTTGCGGTGAGTGGTGGAGGAGCTACTCTTCATTGTGGTGCATGGGCTTTTCATTGCGGTTGGCTTCACTTGTTGCAGAGCATGGGCTCTAAGTGCACGGGCTTCAGCAGCTGTGGCTTGCAGGCTCTAGAGTGCAGGCTCTAGTTGTGGCGCACAGGCTTATCTGCTCCACGGCATGTGGGATCTTCCCGGACCAGGGATCGAACCCATGTCCCCTGCATTGGCAGGTAGATTCTTAACCACTGCGCCACCAGGGAAGTCCCAAATCCATTTTTAACCTCTGAAGGACTAGCTGTCTAGCGACAAAAAGTTGGTCAACACCACGATCTGCTCTGATGTCAATCAAACTTGAAAATTAAACCAAGTAGGATAAAAATCAAAGCCCACATTCCTGTTCACTGCAGCATTATTCACTATAGGCAAGAAATGAAAGCAACCCAAATGCCCACTGACAGATGAATGGATAAACAAAGTGTGGTATGTACACATACACAGGAAATATTATTCAGCCTGAATAAGGAAAGAAATCCTGTCACATGCTACAACATGGATGAACCTTGAAAACATTATGCTAAGTGAAATAAGCCAGGCACAAAAAGACAAATACTGTATGGGTCCACTTATGTGAGGTACTTAGAGTGCTCATAGAAACAGAAAGTAGAATGGTGATTACCAAGGGCTGGGGAGAGGGAAAAGCGGGTGGTGGTTGTTTTATGGCTATAAAGTTTCAGTTCTGCAAGATGAAAAAGTCCTGGATATCTGTTTCACAACAATGTAAATACACTACTGAACTGTACATTTTTAAATGGTTAAGATGGTAAATTTCACTGTGTCGTTTTACCACAATTAAAAAAAAATCAAAGTCCAACAAAATACAGAAAAGCTAGGTGCTGAATTTGAACTTCCACAGTTTATGTGACCGCTCGCCTGATCCTGGATTTTTTCTGCGTTCAAGCTGGAGGACAGACTTGCTGCACTGGCCTAGTCCCACCATACCCCAGGAGGGCACTAGTTTTACACCAGGCTGATTCCAGCACTAAAACCTGATAAGCTTAACCATGAGATTATCCCCTCAAAACATGCACAAAATACCCCACTTTTGACTTTATAATTTCATTTTTTTCCTTCCTTCTGTTTTATATCTAAGATAGTACAGATAACTACCACCTTTAGACTGCAGAGGAGAAAGAATGATTTCTCAGTGGAAATCCACCTGTGAACACAGGCCACTCCGAGAAAGCTCAAGCCAAGTTCAACTGCTGAAAATCCCCCATACAAACAAACGTGACCCACAAGTACATTCAGAATATAAATTAGTTTCTCTACCCCTGAAGTCAAGTGGGCATTTATCACAGTAAGTTATTTTGTTTATTTTATTCATTCATTACCTGTTTATAGTCTGTCTCTCCCACCAGAATACATGTTCTGTGAGTGCAATGATTCCGTCTGTCTGGTTCACAATTGGATCCACAGTAACTAGCATAGCCATAGTAGGTGCATAAGTATTTGTCGAGTGAACAAATAAACTGACTACGTTATGTTAGAGGTTACAGACCAAAGCTCTAAGAAATTGCAACATGAGTTCTACATCAAGAAGGAATCCAGTGTTTGCTCTGCCAGGATGCTAATATTGATACCTTCAGGGCAGGAATGACACATCTAACACAGAGAGCTCCTTCAGCATTTGCTGAAATGACACCAAATGGAGCATTCTTCATTAAGGATATGACACCATACTCTGACTTTTATTGCTTCAGATTCATCACTGTGCCTGACTCAGTAACTGTTTAATAAATACTTATCAAATAAATGACTCTGGTTGTAATTACTACATTGCAAGCCCCTCAAGAGCCAGGGTTTTATTTGATTCTTCTATGTCAGAGGTTCTCAACAGGGGATGATTTTGGCCCCCCAGGGAACATTTGCCAATGTCTAGCAAAATTTTGGGTTGTCACAACTGGAAGGGGAGTGCTACTGGCTGGCATCTACTGATTAAAGGCCAGAGATGCTGCTAAACACCGTACAATGCACAGAAGATCCCCTCAAAACAAAGAATTATCTGGCCCAAAATGTCAGTAAGGCTGTTAAGTAACCCCAATCTAAGTGTATCTTTTGACACCTGGAAAGAGTGCCTGCTTACAATAGATTTGTTGTTGAATAAACTGCCCAATAGTTTTCACCAGGTCCTAGAAATTTGGCAGGGCCACTAATCAGGCTTAAGAAATGACCTACAGCTACTGGAGGAAAGTAAGCTCTGCTTTTCTGCATTCTCTAAAAGATCTGCCTCACATTAAAGTATCTCCAAGTCAAAGCATCCACTATACAACCACATGCCTAAAGAGAGGCACTAAGATATAAAAAAACCCTTGTAGTTACCTCACCTAAGGTAAATTATATTTTCATTTTCCTATCCAAAGGTCAGAAATGAACTATATTTTTAGAAATGTGCTTGAGATTAAAAACACTTTAGTCTAAGTTTTGGTTATTCATCTCAAAGCTTTTACACTCTTTAAAAGTTTCTCATTCTTCCTTACCACTGTTAAATTCCGGATTTCTTCCATGACACGAGGCCAGAAGGACTGTAGGCTTTGCTGGGCATCACTGCTGCTAGCACCACCAAATCCTCCTTCTGTGGACATTTTGACAACTAAAAACAAACACATACATGAGACACATTAGAAATAATAAAGTCAGACTTTCTGTCCAGGTTATTTATAGCTTTCCTTGTGGATGTTTTCACTAATTCATTCAATTTCTCAGCCTGAGAAAGTATACAAAATTGTGCTGAAGGGGTTTTTCACACCGGCTTAAGTCTTAGCCAAAAATAAGGAGGAAAGTTTTCCCTTCTATCCAGCTCATACCGCAGAGACTAACAAGGAGCTCCAAGCAGAAAATCTAAAATTGCTAGAAATCCAAACTCAAATCCTAATGTGAATCAAGGACTTTTAATGTCTTATTTTGCGGAGGGGAAAGAAAAAAAGGCACTTGGTTGTCCTAGTCTGGTCCATAATTTTCAATGCCATTCTCTCCAATGTTTTTCAAGTTCTATGTGGCTTCTCACACTCCATGCCACAGCCTGCAGCACATACATTAAGGGTCCCCAGTGATTAATACTGTACAGAAATGTAAACCCAAAGTCTTAAAAAATAAGAGCCAAGTTTATTCTTTTGTTTTAGACACTGTGGTCCCACTTCTTTGGGGCTACTGATGATTATTATTCTTTCTAATCTCAAGCTAATCTGCCTCAAAGGACACAAAAACACTAAAGTCTAGGCCAGTAATTGAGTGGACGGCACAAAGTCTCCGAACTGAAATCACTTCCCAGTTCTTTCCTTACCTGAACCATGCTGTCAGGCACAAAGCCAAACAAAGCACACCACCAACTGGAAGCTTTAAAGATGGTTGAAAAACATTGAAGAATTATATTTAGGACAGAGAAAAGAGAGTCAGAACTTGCAATCAATTGCTTTGTGATGGGGGAGGGAAGATGAATAAGGATCTCCACATCAGCTATAAATATAGATAACATTGTAATGTCTTAAAAGATTTACAGGGGGGAAGTAAAAAACTCCAGATGGCTTAAATGCTTATCTGACAAATACTTACACCCAAGAAACAGTTTAATTGAACACAAAGAGCAAGAAACTTAGTGATGTCCTAAGAATTTCTATCCTGGGAAACTATCTGAAAAGGTTTGACAGGCCAGTGACAGGATGCTGGTGGACAGCTATGTAAGTCATTAAGAACTAATTCTGAAGGGCTGAAAGAAACGCACCAAAGCCAGGGGTCACATGACCAAATTGCTACTTTCCAGGCTTCATGTGGATGCATGCTGGGCACATCATTCTCCATCAGCAGAATGGAATGAAGGCTGATAAATCTAGGTTTAGACTGTGAGGATGTTTGATTCACTCTTAAATGTTTGCCTGGGACTGTCCTAGAGGTCTCTAATTTTTTTTTTCCCCTTTTTCTTCTAAAGGAAATGATGAGAGGAAAGAAATGAAAGGAAAACAAGAGTACAATCTTCAAAGCAGATTTCACTCTGGTGTAATGACATTAGTGGCTGATGATGTAATGGGAAAAGGTTTGGAGCCAATTTCTGGTGCTGGAGGCCTACAAGCAGCTCTATACATCAACAGGAACTCTAAGTGTTAGGAAGCAATATGATCTTGGAGTTTCTGGAGGGAATTAAAGTGAAGAATGTTGAATCACGGTTGGAAATGACTAGATAAAATCTTGAGTCCTAAATAACCAAGTAAGATCCTCTCAACTCAGCTCCCATGACATTTTCACTTATCACCATATGCACATGGCCTATACACTATTCTCTTAGATGTACTGAGAACAAAGAAACCAAGGTAATCTACAGAAATTTATTTACTTTTATTAGTAGATTCTTACGAGGTACTCATGACAATGATGAGAGTGAGACTCTAACCTTTTTAAATGGGGCAAATAAAATCTTTCTAGAAATGAAAATAATTATCAAAAAAACTTTAAAAAGAATCTAACCTTTCATTGTAGGGACCCCTGTGCATGCCTGATCTTAGCAGAATCTGCCATGAAAACTGCTATGGTCAAAGGAGGAAGATGCACAATTGCCAGTGTATCTCTGTATAACTTGCTAATGATGAGTAGGTTTAGTTTGAGTGCAAAGGCCCGTGAGATTTAGAAAGTTGGTAACCAGTTTTGATTGTCCTCTGATCTCTTCCCACAAATATTACCAAGGTACACAATTCAAGAAGCATTTTTAAAACCATCTGTGCACAGTCTGCTTTTAAATCTTGAATTGCCCCAACTAAGGATGTGCTGGTGCAATCAGTTCCCAAACATCTGTGCAGTCAATAGAGTATGAATGAATCTTTGGCTGGCTCAGAGCCACACTGTCAGAGTGGGGGTTGGCTACAGAACAGAAGTTAACAAATTATCTGGAACTGATAAATGTATTAAAGGTTAAGTGTTTAACTTGAGAGGCCTGTCTGAATTAGAAAATCATAAATGGATAATGGCAAAAAAAATTCAAGTCAGTAATAATGTCCTTTACATTTTACTGCATCACAGAAGTTTAAAACTGGGGGGGAAAAGGCATTAAGAACCACCCAGGCCACCTCCTCTAAAAGATGCTTACAACCCTACTTCAAGCTCTGCCCAGCTCCCTCACTCCCCTAAGGAGTCATTTAGCTTAAACATGAGCTCCTCCCGCTATACTTCTAAGAAACCGGCTCACTGGTAAGGCATTCTTTTCCATCCATCCATCCAGCTCTCACTGTTCTTTACACTAAGTTGAATTTACGAACAAAGGATCATTTCAGCTTTCGATTTAGAGTTACAACTTTTACGCTTTTTCCATTGAGAAACCTCTTTTCATAAATTCCTGACTCCAAAGACACAAAGGTACTATACTTTCATCAGGGACAGAAGATCCTCTCATGAGGAAAAAGAGAAAATGGTTTGGAGCATGTTTTCTAGCATCTCTGCACAGAGATGATTTGTAGCTAATTATCTTAATATCTCTTGGGGGACTTCCCTGGTGGTCCAGTGATAAAGAATCCGCCTTACAATGCAGAGGATGCAGGTTCAATCCCTGGTCAGGGAACTAAGATCCCACATGCTGCAGGGCAACTAAGCCCGTGTGCCACAAATATTGAGCCCCCGCACCTCAGCTAGAGCCTGCGTGCAGCAAACTACAGAGCTCACGCGCCACAACTGCAGAGCCCACACACCCTGGAGCCTGCGTGCCACAACCAGAGAAGACAAAATCCGCACGCCACAATTAGAGAGAAGCCCGGGCACCAAGACGAAAGATACCGCATGCTTCAACGAAGATCCTGCGTGCTGCAACTAAGACTGGACACAGCCAAAAATAAAATAAAAATAAATAAATAATAAATAAATCTTAAAAATCTCTTGGAAGAACATAAATTGTTACTATAAATTCCTAGAAAGTGAGTATTTTTATTCAAAAGGCTTTCCCCAAAGCAGATCCAGTCTTCACATGGGGCTTTAAAAATCAGATCAACAGATCAACAGATCACGCAACAGATCTTATGAAACAAGTTGGTGTTCTCAATATTTTCTGACTGTGGCAAAACTTAACATTAAAATAATAAAACCTAATCATAAACAAATTTTGCTCACCAAACAAGTTAAAAAATATAAAGTAACCTTAGTTAATTTTATCACTTATTTTAATAATTAATACATAAATTGCAACTGAATTGATTTTGCTACAGAAGTAGCCTACTTACAACATCTACAACCCATGGCAAATATGCCAGGTTCATCTTCTAGAGTGATAAGAAAGGTATGTGTTTAAAAGTTAGAAAGAGATTTATATTCCAGGATCCTTTTTATTCCATGTTAAATTGCTATCGCTATCATGAGATAAAGCTATTTATATATAGTAAGACCAAGCCACATTAGCTTAATGACTCTTATGAAAAATGCATAATAGAATTTCCCAGATTTAGTTCATAATTAATATTAGATTTATTACTCATGTTCATTAATTAGATTATAAACACTTGAATAAGACTGCCTGTTTAACTATTTAATAAAGACTTAAGGACCAGATGAAATATTGAATGTTTGTTGCTATAAGAAATCTCAACTCCCCTTATCTCTTAATTTATCTGGTTTTAAAAACAGTTTGCTTTCCAAAACTAAAATGGGAAGAATCAAAGTCCACCAAGAAAAGGCCACTTCTGCAATGCTCAAATCAACGGCCATCTCTCCGCAAGTGTTCTCTAAATAACCCCAAGTGATCACTCCTTCCTGTAAACCTTCAGAGCCCTTAATCTGTACTTCTTCCTGCCCTCACCACATTACCTTGTATGATCGTTATTTATGTATTTCTTACCATATTTCCCCTTCTGATTTATAAGCTTGTGGGCAGGACCTGAGTACGATTTATCTCTGGATTCCCTCACAGCACCTAGCTCAAAGCCTGATAAATAATTACTTCTGAATGAAGGAGCAAGAGAGTTGTTGCATATGGCCTTTCTGAGAAAAAACAGGCCTCTTGGAAAGCCTGGCCCTGAAATAAGATTTATTGGGACTGCAAACTATCCTAGGAGTTTCAAAATAAACGAGGTTCTCTCTGGGCCTTGAAAGTATAAGTAGGACTACAATCAGAAATCCACATGACTTGCCGAAGTGAATTTAAGATAAAAGGGCATGGGACTTCCCTGGTGGTCCCGTGGTTAAGTCTCTGTGCTCCCCATGCAGGGGGCCTGGATTTGATCCCTGGTCAGGGAACTAGATTCCGCATGCCGCAACTAAAGATCCGGCGTGCCGCAACTAAGACCCGGCTCAGCCAAATAAATAAATAAATATATATATATATTTTTAAAAAAGATAAAAGGGCATGATAGGAAGGGGACACACACACACACCACACACACACGCACACACACACACGTCCTGGAAGTTGCAAAGCAGACTGCAAGGCTAGAAACATGGGTGCATACCATTCCCAAGCGTAAACCTTTTGAAAGTCAGAATCTTCTCAGAAAGGTGACCAGGACAGATTAGCAAAGTTTGAAAAATTAATGACAATAGGTAAGTAGGAAAAGAAGGGGCAGGGGGGAGACCTGTGTTTGGCCACTGCCAGGAGCATAAGGAGAAAATCATGGAGGAAATGGGATG